GTGCATCCCAATCCAAGTTGCAGGCTTGAAGCGGTCAATCTTTGGTGTTAGTAACATAGAATTCGAGGCATGCATGCATGGCCACGAAAACGTACGTGCTACAGTGAAATTAGTTCCTTAAAAAATCAGCCGCGCCCGTCTGTGTTGCACCAGCTGCCGTATAATTAAAGGAACATCGCAACTTAAACAAGGAGTATCAGAGTGGCGCAGCGGAAGCGTGGTGGGCCCATAACCCACAGGTCCCAGGATCGAAACCTGGCTCTGATAGTATTTTTGACAGTTTATGTGCTCGTTTTCTTTCAAACTGGGTTTCAATATTTCTGTTAGGCCCATTATTTTATTACTTTGTTTTCAATCAATTTCCGCACTGTTTTTCTGCTGGATCACCAGGTTCACTTTGCATAAAAATTCAAGCCGTGTATTTGTAAAAATTTCTAGTACTACTACTGTTGAAGTCAATATAGCCATCTATCATACAACAAAATTACAAATTTAAAATTAATTTGCATGCTGGGAGCAAAAAGAAAGGCCAATTCCTCAATGGATAAAAAATGCAATCCAAATTTTTTTGCGATGAGTAACTACTAGAAATAGTATGTCTTCTTTGCTGCTTTTTTTATAAAGGGCGCTTTTATTATCTCAAAAGGTAGCATCAAGAGGATACAAAAGCATTATGAGTAATACCCGGCCTCTGCATAACTAAGATGCACACAGCCAATCACATAAAGTCTGATAAAAAGAAAGAAAAAAATGACGACAAATGGGCGACAGTAGATTCATATAGACCGACACTATGCCTATGTTGAAAGGGGTGGTGGACCTATCCGAAGATCATGCTGCTTAGATATAGACCAAATTGGATGTGAGTTTCCTTTTGCAGGATACACACACATCCTGATGTCCAGTCCCTACAAGATTTGTTGTGTATTTATGATTTCATATCGTGTTGGTCAATGCTCACTACACTGCATATGTGCATTGTTGCTATTTCTCTTTCTTTATTTTTGAAAAAACCTTCCCCGTAAATTAATTAATTAAAAGGTCTACACGATCATTCGTCATATGGCACCATTTGATCTATTATAAAAACTGAATTTTGCAATCTCATATGCCAGCACATTGGCCTGACGATTGATCTTTGTGATCTTAAAAATATAAAAGCCTAGTGATGCCTAGATTCCTTCTTCAGATCGACAATAGGTGACCTGGTAAGATTTTAATTTGCAAGGAAGCCAAAAAAGAACATTAATCTTTTTTTTTAGAACAAAGGCTCAAGTCGAGCCCGGTTTTGAATTAACAAAGCCATCAACCGGCCAGGATTACATCAACCGCCAACTTACATAGACAAAACAAAGAAACAGCTAAAAGGATACAGAGTGATGTGCAGGCAGCTAAAAGGCCTCCTACCATCTACAAGCAAAGATGAAGAAATTAAAGAACAAGACCAGCTTGAAGACAATGAAGCCCTCCACCGAGTGCAATCCACCCCGCCGAGACACCATCAAGCCTTGAGGAGACCCAACTAGCATGTGAGGGTAACGCTAACAGCTTCATAGACTCCGACCGAACCGTTGACAACCTCCTACATCTCCGAAGGGGCTCCCTAGCTCCTCGCCTGGCACGAGGCGCCGATCCGTTGGACGATGCAAACGCTCTCCCAAGATCAAATGTGTACAACCGACGCCATTGCCTCCCGGAAAGCCGGACCAGGGCACCACCAACTCGCGTTGCCGAGCTCCACAAAGGCAAACATGGCACTGGGAGGGAACCAACACGCAAGGAGAAGCAAAATGCACAATGAGACTGCTGATGACAGAGCAACTATGGTGGGAAGCCACTGAACTTGGAGAAGAACCTCCAAGACACCACCAACTCCAACCATGTCGCCGCTGGACGCCCATCAACCAGACCGAAACTTGCCATCACCCCATGCTCACCGAAGGCAGTACCTCCATGAAGGTGACGACGCCGCAAACATCGCTGCCGCTCAATCGATAGGGATTTGGGTTTTCACCCCGGTGCACGAGCAGGGGAGAGAGGCAGAAGGGGGAAAGGGGTCACCTTGACGGCGCCTACAAGTAGGAGACGGCGCCCTCAGGCGTCGCCTCGTCGTGGCCGGCATAGCCAGCCGTGGATTTCTCCAGGCCCCACATCACCCTCCCACCCCTACCACAGATGCGGCGCCGGCGACCTGGGGCAGGCGGGGACCAGATCTGACACGGGCCGAAAGGGTTGGGGCGGAGGCGTCACATCCGGGGCGGGCGCACCCACGGCCACCACGCCCCACAGCCACCACCCGTCGTCGCCTTGCCACCCGCGTGGCCAGGGGGACGGCCAGCACCAGCGACGGCCGCCAGCTGAAGACGATGACGCACCACCACCCGAGGCCGCCGCCCCGGCTCCAAAGCCCCCTGTGCGAAACAGGGCGGACAGATCCTCGCCACCACCCTCCCCGGCGGACGCGCAACTTTCCGGCGACCCCCTCAGGTGGTGGTGGTGGTGGTGAGGGAGAGGAGAAGCGGGGAAGGGGGGGCGGCGGCGGCTAGGGTTAGCGCCGCCCAAGTCACCCCTGCGGCAGCGACGCGGGGGCTAGGGGGGGGGGCGTCGAGTAGGGCCCGTCTTGGAGTAGTCTAGATATAAGAACAATAATCTTTAAAAAATGGACTTGTTAAGGGTGATACTGATATATATCGAAAAAAATTGTCAAAAAAGGAATAAAAAATAACGAACTTGTTGCTTTTGAAAAAATACGGCAATCTTGTTGGAGAGGAAAATCTTTAAATTTAAAAATTATATTGTTGCGTATCGACGGCCCGGGCTGGGGTGGCGTTGGCCACTGTACTGGTACACCACCCCCGGCCGGGAAACTATAGCCTGCACCTGCATGAACACCGCCATCGCATGCAAATCACACAACTAGCGCCAGTTGCCGCACTCATGGACATGAACGCCAAACACACACAAAACCTCATGACTGGTCGGCAAACACACGGTTACCTTGGTCGGCGGCGGCCGGCCGGCAGAGGACGGTATCAGCAGGGAGCAGGAGCATAGGATGACCAGGAGGATTGGCACGGCGTCTGCGAGCGAGGACGAAGATGAAGAAGGTCCCTTCATTTTCATGTGGCTATATGTCGAACAAGGGCCCATCATGTAAGAAACACTTCAAGTACTAAAATGTGGTTGTACCTTTCATTGTTGCTAACACAAATATTTGTGTGCTTTGCCTTCTCCTATGCAGGGATATGCTCTAATTGAGCATGAGAACTTTGAGCAATTCTGGGCTGCAGTAAGAGAATCAGACGGGACTGAGCTTCTTCCACGGATAGCAAGTAGTGTTGACTGCCCATTTAGTAATGGCCATGTCAAACGAAGAACCACATGTATCACATACCCTTTGCTTGCCTTATCGCAATTTGACGGTCGCCCTTGTCTTTTCATACAAGTTTCAGGTGGTTAACTTGTATGGCATTTTCAGGTCCCTCCTTTGGTGGACGGAGCCGTGTTTGCTGTTCAAGTTTGAGACAATTGTAGCCGTTGGCATGTTTGTGCTGACACTGACCATATGCACGGCGAGGTTGAATCAAATAAACTGCCCATGAGCACCCGCAAAAAAAAAAATTAAAAAAATCTGTCAAATGTGGGAGTCAAACCAAGGATCTCCTCCTGAGAGATTGTCGATACAACCAGCTGACCTATTGAGCCTTAGTGATTTTAAGACAACAGACTCTTAAGAAACAAACCCCAGCGCAGATTCGCAAAAATTTCTGAAATTTCAAACGCAATTTTTCTAAGGCAGTGCAAATCATTAAATGTTGACAAACATTTTCTGAAAATCATGAACACTTTTCTGAAATGGAAACATTGTTTGTAAATCCAAAAAAGAAATTGGAAAAGCGAAAAAAATTGAAACTCCCAAAGAAATTTTTTAAACACAAACATTGTTTGAAAGTCCTAAAAATGGAAACATTAGAATTTTTTTAATTTGTAAACAATTTTTAGAACTGAAACATTTTTTTCAAGTTCCTAATAACTTCTGAATAACCTTCCAAACATTTTTTGAAAAAAGAATTCAAAACATGAACAGTTTTTTGAAATTTGCAAACATTTTTTGAAATGTGGATTATTTTTTAAACTCCTGCAAAAATGGAAATATGAACATTTTCTAAAATTTATGATTTTTTCTGAAAACAGGAACATCTTTGAAATTCGAACAAAATTTTGAAAAAGTTTGGAACATTTTGAAGATAAACATACAGAGCAAAATTTGAAAACAAGATCATTTTTTTGAAAATTGGGATTTTTTTTAAATGTGAACATTTTTTGAACTCCGGAAAAATGATACATTTGCAAACAATTTTTGAATCATGAACGTTTTCAAAAATTTGTGATGTTTTTATAATGGGAACATTTTCTAAAATTCTGAACATTTTTTGGAAAGTATAAAAGAAAATCAAAATCATGGACATTTTTCAGATTTATGAACAAAACTTTAAAACGTAACAATTTTTAAAAAATCTGAAAGAAATTTGAAGATAGAAAATTAAAATTAAAAATGATAGGAAAGAAAAGAAACGAAGAAGCCTGTGCGAAGCCTTGACAGCTTGATGCAACACAACATGCATCCAATAGGAAATTCCATGATTCTCTACCATTTGCTCGTTTAATACTTGTGTCAGTTCTATAAAAAAACAGAAGTATATTTTTCCCCCCTTTTTCATCACGGGGCTTAGCATTTGTTCAGTCTGATTCGAACCCAGAGGTTCAGAACCACATGAGACAACGCAAGCCCAAGTTACAACCAGCCTTAAGTATGCAACTCCTGCCAAGTAACAGCCAGTCAATGGATCATGGCCCAGATGCCTATGTGGCCGATTCCGCAAAGACAGCAATCGGCCATTTTCGATGTATATAGAGCTCATGTGGTATATATCACTAAGTATATCCCATAATGCTCGTAAACCCCCATGGGGGTCATCAAGTGTGCGGCGTTACCAGCTTCATCTCTGCTGTTCCGCTGCGTTCCTCCGGACCCGAAAGGGGTACCGGCGGGAACCGCTTCCATTCGGTTCGACGGTGGCAGGCTCCGATGGAGATATCAGTGGCCCACAGGAACTGCGGGTACGCCGTCGACTGGGGTCTGATGATTCGTGTGTCGCCATCCTCTGATTTCTTAGCTTAGATACGATGTTTCTGTCCGACGAATGTGTTTTGACGGTTGATGAAGATCCCAGCGCTTCATCTTCATCTGTGCTGCTCCTCTCTTCTACATCTGAAAACCACCACGCCAACATGAAACTTAATTTCACCAGTTTCATAGTATGCATTTACAGCCATATATTTTTCACAAAAGATCAACCGTACCAGATTTAGGATGAACCAGATGAGCAGCTTGCCAGCTTTTCCCTTTTGCCTGACCATAAATAGATACACTGTAAGATGTCTACAAAAATAGACAATAAATTGGTTTAAACTGTGGAATATAAGGTAGACCATCCAAAAAAGAAGAATCCATTTGATTCCATGAACTAACCCATAACTGGTCAAGGATCACCTCAACTCCCTTCTAGAATAAGCATGAATTAATTAACAAAATGCATTTAGAAGCTAGAACCTAAACCTTAGAAACTTACGGCCGAAAGAGGTACAGTCCAGCCTTTAATGATGGACCAATCAAGCGCAGGCCTCAGGTCCTTTTTCTTAGCAAGACACTGCTGGCCTTCACCCATGGGATGATCCAAGAACTTTACCTGTAGAAAAATGTCAAGCAGGAACATGTGAGTTATTGTCTCTGATAATGTTGGCTATGACAGAAAACCAATAGTCAGCATGAAAACATGGAGATCAAATGATAAAACAATTTGTCCCACTTCATATTTTAAACATATTTTAATCAGCATGAAAGTTCATTTGATGTCATTTTATCAGTGTGTGTCATCTTCATCAGCAAGAAAGTTGTTGTGTGTCACCAGCCCGTAACACAACTGGACTGCCAGACTAAAACGTATGGACACGGCAGAAGTTGCCAAGTCCATGTGCTGATATGTCCGGACACGGGGACACACGCGTATCCTACCATATTTCATGAATTACGAATTAAAAAAAAAGAGGACACAGCTGGGACACGTAGGGGACACGCGAGGGACTCGGGAGTCCCAACTATGCTTCGGCCTGATAGGAAACCCTTTTTTTTTGCAGGTCGCATTCACGGACGCCACAAAAGGGAGAGCTGGGAAACCTCCTGGACTCGCCACCGCCACTGCTGTATAGAGTCGCCGCCGCCGCCTGGACTCGACCGCAGCCATCCCCCAAGTGCAGGAGCCTCTCCTCCCAACGGCAACCATGCTGGAGCACGTGACCTCAACCTATCTCATCTATTTGAATCGATTTTTTGTTGAGCTGCTGCTGCTTGCTTCCCCTGTTCGTCATGCCCTTGCTGCAGCTGCTCGCTAGTTACTTCCCCATGCTGCTCATGTGCCGCCGCTGCTGCTTGCTTACTCTGTTGCTTCCCTGTGCTGCTGCTACCTGCTTGTGTTGAACTGTTGATTGGTGCTTCATGTTACGGGTGAGAGTGAAGGAGGACAACCTAGACCTGGTGCCGAGAATTTGAAATTGCCAAACCACAATGCTATTGGGAGCTAGCATGGCAGATGTTTGTGTATTTTTCTACAGACTCTGTTAAACCTAAAGAAGTTTGACTTGGGAGTTGGGACAAAACTAGAACATCAAATATATTTATATTTTTGTAAATGAGGGAGTAAATGTTTACCTCAACCACATTTTTACTGGTCAGCTCAATAATCTGCCCAGTCCAGTAGCAATCTTTATTATGCCAGTCAACCCAATCACCTACTTTCCAGGTATCATGGACACGTGCTATCACCTCGCTCTTCGGAAAGTGCTTAGGAGCTTGTTGCCCCCTATACCACCGAGGAAAGGAAGGACGCAACATTATTTCAGTACTGCCATTTGATTTCCCTTCCAGGCATGCCTGGTTGAATGGGTTCTTTTGGAAGACTCCAATCCATTCGTTGGCTGAAAAGGACATCAGGAATAATCATATCAGGTGTACAGAAAACCAACAGTTATAATCTTGGTCAGATTCGCGTATCCCAAGATTTTGTTGTGCCTAGCCAACAGTAAGGGTAAAACTGAGATCATGACAAGACATATTTGCGCTAGGTATTGATTGATCAATTGTCGGGTAAATTCAAATGCAAGGTATAATCAGATATTTCCATGATTTTACTAGCCCTGCAGATTCGAGTGTAGGCTTTGCAACTGCCTGTTCAAAACCAAACTCATCAATTATGACCTGTACTATTTTTTGCGGGGGGATTATGACCTGCACAACGCGAACCATTTTGGGGAAGATATAGACAGATCGCGTGGTTTTCAATCACTGCATGATCCATCTCCTTAAAGGTAAACAGTATTGGCTAGATACCATACGTGATCAATGGCAATATTATAGAATTTGGAAAACACAGATGTTTCTTCATTATATCGTATGATTCCTGATCAAGGGCACCATGCACAAAAAAAGTTACCCATCCAAGCATAACATGTAGCATATTTCTGGATTGAAAAAAAAAATCAAACTATACCATATAGAAAACATCTATAATTAGAAGGTCTGCTTTCAAAAATTAGGTGCATGCCATAAAATATCTCAGCTGCCTCCAGGGCCTCAGTGGTGTATACGAGAATATTTCCAAGTACAAATTATGTCTACAGAATGAAGAACAAAGTGCTTGCACCGCAATATCCTTAAGCTAAAAATTTGAGAATGAGTATTCAAATTGATTTATTGCATGTGGTCCCTTCACACTCTCTTAAAAAAACAAAAGGTTATGTGCAAAAGAAAAAACAGAGCTTGCATATAAAGATTTGCTTACCTTCTTCAGTATAGTCAATATACTCCAAGTAATACTCAAGATGCCCAGATTCTGTGACACGCATATCTTTTATCTGAAAGAGAATTAATACAATATGTGTTAGTAAAGCCTTATACCCTACTGTAGAATGAGTGAAGAGAAGTATTATATTTGTAGTCTGTGAGATTATGGTCAAGTGACAGACTGATGTTATTATTAGATATAAAAGTAGTAGCCATACTAGCATTATGTATTAGAAAGAAAAAGCTTCATCGTCTATGTTTGTAATATGTATTCTAGCACCCAAAATTTAATCTAATTTGTCTAGTTCATAGACTTGTGGACAACAATAGCATAGCCCTTTGTCTTATAAACTAATGACTAGAGTTCAATTCTTACCAAATGCTCATTAGTGGGCTATTTGTGTGCATTTCATTATGATTTTCTGGTATTTAAACCGGTAACCTATGGTTGTGAGCCTTAAGAAGATCCGTTCGTAATAACAATGATGGTAGCACGTTAGATTCGAGGAGGGCAGAAGATAAGAGTAGTGCCCCAGGGGAGCCATCAATACCAAAGGAGGTTCCACAACAGAGGTATCCACATATGACCCACGCCTCTTGGGAGGAAGTGTGGTGGATACTGTACTCGGAACCAGGGCGTGTGTAGAGGCCCAAGCTTCTAGCTCAACTTTGGAACATGCCACATTGGGCCACGCACGTGACCCAAGAAGAAGTAAAGAAAGTTCAAAAGCCAAACAATTCCTAGATAGAAGAAAGAAGCTGAACACCAATAAAGAAGTTGAGACCCCTAAAGATTCAAGGTCGAAGGTCTACCATGGACTGTGAGCTAGGTCCATAATGATGGCCTCTCGTAAAGTATATGCCATGTTTCCTCTTATAGCCTCGCTTTTCTCTCCCACTAAAGGTGCTCGTGGTAACTTATGACCGTGTATGATATTGCCTTTTTTACTTTCCTTCCCACCAAAGGTGATGGTGGTCTTCAAGTCAACAAGGCTCTTATATAAATCCTTGGGTGGTTAATAATTTATTACCTAGTCTCTTCTACCTAGTTCATGTCAGAGTTTGTGTTCGAAAAAAATAGTTTACGTCAGACGGTCAGAGTTTATATAAAGACTTAAAGAGCACCAAATAGTTACTCCAAGCATATACTCGTGATATCCTAAGCCCCAATCTCGACCCTCTCAATCCAATGTCAATTTGATCAAATCTTACGACAAGAGATTTTGTATAGAAATTCACTTGTCATTATTCCCGCCCATGTAGAATGACCTTTTCCAAGGCTAGCAGACACCCCTACTTGTTGCACATATCACTACAGCGACAAATAGATGGAAATTGTATGAGAAATTGACATGAGTATACTAGAGGTGCAAAGAGAAATGTTTAGATTGAGTGGCCAAATTTCTACTTTAAGGGACGTATTGACACAAATAAAAAACATGGTGAGGGTAGTTGTTTGCTACCTAATTTACTAAATTCATTAATATCACACATATAATGCAAATACATGTCCAACCTTGGAGCGGAACCATGCGCCTTTGAAACCTTCATCAAAGCACTTTGCCTCGGCAAAATCTCCAATTTTAAATGGAAGAATTAGATCCATATCCAGCCAACCTAAAGACATTACCAACAGAAGAAACCAGAGTGGTTAGCATGTTCACATCACAGCATGTGTCCATATAATAAAGCACTACTTCAGGAAAAAACTAATATGAAAATACCATGAGTACCACTAGTAAATGCCAGAATCAGAACAGCGAAACAATCACAATCATGATTTTTGTAATATTTGAAACAAATTCATCCAAGGCCACGCGTAATTATAATGAAACACCAAGACCATGTACAACTATAGTAAAACAAATAATAGAAAAGATGGTGAGGCAGGGCGAGTGCTCTCCTTGGCCCGACGCCAGATTCCCAGACCAAACACGCCACACGGCTCCATGTCCACACCCAAGTTGCCACAAGTAGAACTGGTACACCCAGGCAACAAGGTACGTGTCCCCCAAACAACACCCTTTGTTGTTTCCTTTTGTTTTTGTATGTCCTTTTAAGTCGCATCGCCAATTGTACTCTTTGCTATTATGCCCGCAAAACATGATGCCAGTTATCTAGAGTCTACTACTGTGCATTGCGTCTTCCAATATAATGGGTCGGTTTCTAAACCGTCCTCAATCGTCGGGCCGTTGAACTGATGCATGTGGATGTGCTTATTGAAGCTAATGATTAGTTGGGAATAGCTTCGACACACAAGATTCAGAAGACTTTTGGAAGGTTATTAGGTGTTAGCTAATGGTATTTTCATTACGTTCATATTTTTTTGTTGGTCTATCCCCTATGACTCCTGCACCTAATTAGAAAATTTTAATTAGATGGCGCGGTCGTCAAAAGCATTGAAACTGCTCCCTATGATGAAATTTAAAAAACAAAGAAAATAATTCAACATATTCATGAAGATCATTCATAGCCTCTGTTATGGGTCATTTTAGAAGTATGTACTCCCTCCGTCCCAAAATACTTGTCGAAGAAATAGATAAAAATGGATGTATCTAGAACTAAAATACGTTTAGATACGTCCATTTCTTCGACAAGTATTTCCGCACGGAGGGAGTATGTATTTGATAAAATTATTGTTTATTCCCGTTTGCAACGCACGGGCATATTTGCTAGTAAGTTGAAAAGCAGACCTAAAACACGACTTTGTTACTCCCTCTTATTCATATTACCTGTCGCTCAAATCGGATGTATCTAGCACTAAAATACGTCTAATTGGATGTATCTAGCATAAAATACGTCTAGATACGGCCGTCCGATTTTAGCAGCAGCAGCAGCAGCGAAGCAATGTTGTTCCGGGGAAACCCCAAGAGAGCCTCGGCCAGTACTGAAGATCAAGATTCGACTAGGGTTTTTCAGGGGACGAGTCAGTACCTGAAGATCTCGTCGCGGGTGAGAGGGGGGGAGGGGGAGAAGCTAACCTGGAGATCTCGACGCCGGCAGCTTCCGCTTCTCCGGAGTGAGGCGGCGGAGGAGAGGGATGGGGCTCCGTGGCAGGCCGTGGAAGCTGGAACGCCCTCCTCCTCCGGGTAGGTCGCGCCGCCGCCGCCCACTCCGACCCGCCGCCGCTTCAGTCGCCTCGAAGCATTTTCCCCCTTCCGCTCGGGGAAAATTCCACAAGTATTTTTTTTTAGGGTTTGGATGGCGTTGGGCCGGGGAAAGATCCACGGTGTGAGGCCCAGTATTTGGGACGTATTCGCTCCGTTTTTATTTACTCCGCATATTAGCTTTGGCTGAAGTTAAATTTTATAAAGTTTGATCAAGTTTGTAAAAAATAATATGAATATTTACAATAACAAATTTACATGATTGAGAATGTATGCAATGATGAATCCAATGATATATGTTTGGTGGTGTATACGATAATATTTTCTTTTACAAACTTATTGAAAGTATATGAAGTTCGACTCTAGACAAACCTAATATGCGGAGTAAGTAAAAACAGAGGCGGTAGATTTGCGGGTCCCAGAGCAGCGATGAGAGAGGCGGGCGGGTGATTCTAGCCAGGAATTAGGGAGAGAAAGAGCAGAGGGGTACTAGAGAAGAAGCTTGGATGCAGGGGACAGAGAGTTTCTAATCCCCGGCTCGTATGCACCCGGATGACGAGCAAAATCCGAAAGATAGTAAAAATCAAACAATTCTAAAAAAAATATAAATATTGATAAATGTTTCACATGTTATTTTTTATTAGGCCTCCACTAATGCCATTTCATCATGGAATTTTGCATGCAAGTAAAAACATTCATCAATGTTTATTATAAAAAAATCGAACTTATTTTTTTGGATTTTACTGATCATTCAGGTGCATGTGAGCTCAAGATTAAAAGAGCACTTTCGAGATGCAAGCGTCAAAGTTCTTTCTCATTGCCGATAAACAAAGGCTTTCACCGGACACGGTTAATCTAAGCTCCAGCTCGTGTGAGCTCGGATGAACAGTAAAAATATCAGAACAAAAATTGTAGCAAACATTGACAATTTTTTCCGTTGCTTGCAAATTTTCATCATGGACATTCATGAAAGACGTGGCAAAATAAACACAAATTGATGCTCCAAAATGTTATTTTCAAAATAATTTTGGAGTATCAATCTTTTTCGTCATGTCCTACATGAATGTCATTCCATGGTGAAACTTTGCAAGCAATCAAAACATTTTTCAATGTTTACTCCAAAAAATGAGTTTTTGGGCGAAAAGAAATAGTTTACTGTTCACTCGAGCCCATATAACAAACGCCGTACGGACTCTCAAAATAATGACGCAGATTCCTTTATTTTATTACTAGTACGTAGAATATGTTGGAATTTTCCTAGTAGGCCTTTGGCCCAAAGCCCAACTAAAATTCTGAAATTATCTTGGCCCATTCATGCACACATGTGAGTGGAGTGAGTGAGGCTAAAGTTTAGTCCCACATTGGAAGTTGAGAGAGAGTTGCACCTCTTTATAAGGTGAGCTTTTCTACCACTTGTATGAGCATGAGAAGAGGAGACCTACACGCGCGCTCCTCCTCCTCGCTCGTCGTCACGACGCGCCGCGCCGCGCCGCGGGTTGCGGGATTGAGCCGAGCCGAGGACAGAGCTATGCACGTTGTCTATATTGTCGACCGTGAGTATAGGAACACGTGCAGTGCCCCATGACCGCAACAAACACACCGACTTGCGCTATCACTTCATCCCTGGCTGCGTTGAGAAGGGCATGACGGGTGTGGAGTTCATCAAAATCAACGCAGCAAAGGGGGGCATCCTAACAAAGCCGCTTGATCGTGTTCGTTTCTATGAACTGCGTGACAAGGTGGCATCATTAATGTTAAGGGCCTCCCGCAGTGTTGAGGGGGGGGGGGGGAATTATGGGCTTACATCCTGCCTCGGCGCACATGCAAAATATAGTTTGCCATGGCAGCGCTTCCAGGCAAACCCAAAAACCACCACCACGACAGCCGTTTTCGCTGCCATGACAACCATTTTTCGGTTTTGTTTCTTTTGGTGTTCTTAGGTTGTTTTAGTTAGGCTAGGAGGACGTGGTCTATGCGCCATGGATGCTAGAGCCAGTCGAACTTCGCCGGCGAGCCCCTCATGCTGCGGCGAGGGAAGCGAGGAAGGTGAAGGGAGGGGCAGCCGGTTAGGGTTTCTCCACCCGAGTCGCCAAGGAGACGACGCGTGGCTTGGGGCCTTGTCTAAATCCATGATTCAGAGCCACCACACGAGCGCCAAGATGGCTGCATGAGAAGAAAACAGCAACGGTATCCATCACACGGAGCTAGAAAAAGCAGTGGTCTCACACCTACCTATTCACTTCACATACATGAGCCAACCATCGATCAAACCTCAAAATCTTATTATCCTACTAGGGGCTGGTGTGTACCCATGAAACCTCACGATCTTACTACTACCCTAGAGACCGGTGTACCATCATCTTCAGACAAGAAACTGTTGGAAATATGAGCAATTTACCAAATGATTTTATTAATAAAAATATTAGATAAAGCATGACTAATATAGCCGTGATAAAGTAAGTCATGCAACCTGACGGAGAAAAAGTAAATAGCATCTGCATATATGAACTTAAACTGAACACATCTAGGACAGACACTAGATCATGTTGCATATATGGAGTAAAACCTAACACATGTAGGGCAAGTACTAGTACGAGAAATTGTGACAGGACATCTGACAGAAAGAAGAAGAACACATACGGGACAACAGCAGCAGAAGCACTGGACTTGGGGTCTACATCCTCTCCAGCCATGTCGTTGCTGAGGTAGTCGTCGTCAGGGAAGAAGTAGTCGTAGGAGTCCGTGATGAAGAAGCCAGTAGTCGCGCAGAGCGCTCCCCAAAAACATTATCACCCTTATCCCGTACAGGACTCAAAAGGTGCGGTCTCGGAGGCCTACTGTCCCGACGTGCGGTGCACGCTGCAAGCCGGGATGAGGAAGACAGCAGCAGCTCAGAGATGAAACCGATGGCGAGGGAAGGAGTAGTTCTGGTGCGTCTCTCTGGGAGGAGCGACCTCCCTTTTATAGGCGCAAGAGAAGGAGGCGAGAGGGCAGCGACGGGAGGCGAAACGAAGAGACGGAGGCGAAGCGAACAGCCAGCAGCCGAAGGGCTACACCGTTCGCATTCGAAGTCCACTTTCGCAAAAATCTTTTCAGCTTCCGTGTGACCTTTCGTATACTCGTAGTGCGTGGCAAAAATTTAGATATCGGCTCGGCTCATTCCCACAACCCGCAACTCGCGTCGTGACGAGGCGTGGCGTGGCGAGGCGGGCCGCGGAGGAGGAGCGCGCGTGGATATCCCTCTTGTTCTCATGCTCATACAAGTGGGGAAAGAACCTCCCTTATAAGGAGGTCCAACTCCCACTAAACTAGCAATGTGGGACTAAACTTTAGAAGTATCCCTTGCCTTGCATAAATGGGCCTCTAGGATTTATTAGGAATTTCTGAAATAGTTATTGGGCTGCCCAAAATAGACTAAATTTCAACAATCTCCCACCAGATCCCAGAGGCACACAGAAATTTGCCTTTGGTTCCAAAACACTGTTTTATATACCGGTACTGCAGTGGAGACTGTTAAGTTGAATTTCCACCTAGAACTCTATGCTACACTAGTAAGCAACTTGAACAGTGGACTGGGCCTTGAACTGCAAGTTTTCTGCAAATCTAGCTTCACATAAAGCCTTGACCGATACGTGGCTACCGTGGGTCTTCCCTGCGGGTGGAGCTTATGCGTCATACTCCATGACCTTTCATGAGTTTACTAGAGAGAACCCTACTCTCATAGATTGCGATGTTTGACAATCAGACTCATATAGGTGTGTTCTTCAAAAGATGTTCTGCAGGATAACATCTCTACTTAAATAAGCCACTTCGAACACATTAAGATATACATCAACCTGCCTTGCAAATTAGGAGAGTATTGCATCTTCATGGAGTGGTATTGTGAATAGTAAGGATACTCTCCTCTCATTTGACCAACAGCTTGTCTTCCACATCTAATTCACGGGATCTCCGATCACAAAGAATAGGTTACCACTGTGAACAACTCATATTGTGGGTCTCATACCCATCTCGCTCGATGCATTATCTATCACATTACGTGATAGACCCTTAGTAAAAGGATCTGCCAGATTTTTAGACATTTGGATATAATCCAACGCAATAACTCCAGAGTTTTTCATTTTCCTGATAGACTTTAACCTTCTCTGAACGTGTCTTGATGAATTCATGTTATTCTTTGAGCTGCTCACTTTTGTGATCACAGTTTGATTGTCGCAGTTCATAAGGACACCCGGTACAGGTTTCTCAACAACCAGCAAGTCATTCAAGAGCCGGCGAAGCCAATCTGCTTCAACCGTGGTTGTATCTAGTGCTGTGAGTTCTGCTTCCATTGTTCACCTCGTTAAGATGGTCTGCTTGCAAGACTTCCAAGAAACAGCGCCACCTCCATGAGTGAATACATAACCACTCGTGGCCTTTATCTCATCAGCATCTGAGATCCAGTTTGAGTCACTATACTCTTCAAGCACCTTTGGATGCCCGGTGTAGTGAATTCCATAATTTGTAGTGCCTTTCAAATAACGCAAAACTCTCTCTAGAGATTTCCAATGCACATCTCCTGGTTTTGAGACAAACCGACTCAGTTTGCTAACAGCAAAAGAGATGTCAGGTCTTGTAGCACTTGCTAAGTACATAAGCGAGCCAATAATCTGAGAATATTTCAATTGATCTCTAGCAATTCTTCGATTTTTTCGAAGTAACACACTCGCATTATATGGTGTTGGAGAGGGCTTGCAGTCACTATAGCCAAAGAGACTCAAGATCTTTTCCACATAGTGAGATTGAAGCAATGTAATCCCACCATCATTGTCTCTCAACAACTTGATGTTCAGAATGACATCAGCCACTCCTAAATCCTTCATCTCAAAACAACAAGATAGGAAATCCTTGACCTCCTTAATAACATTCAGATTTGTTCCGAAAATCAGTATGTCATCAACATACAAGCACACGATAACTCCCTCGTCCCCACCATGGCGATAGTACACACATTTGCCAGCTTCGTTCACAACAAAGCCTGCAGATGTTAAAGTTCTTTCAA